GCATTATTCTGGTGTGAGGAGGATATCTCGAAAGACACAGGAAAATAAAAGAGGCCTAGACAGGGCCAGATAATGTCCTTTCATCTGTTGTTACAAGAAAGTTTTTGAAAAACTTCACGACGATAATAAGGGATAAAGTAAGTGATTTATTTCACTAGCAAATGTATTGCAACCCCTGCTCTTCCGCTTTCCCCCATACGTCCGTCATTGCCTCCGTGCATTAAGCGATCTGCCAAAAATGCCGCAGATTGTATTGAAGAATAAATAGTGAGAAAAGCACACATCAAATCCATTAATCAGTGTCATGACTTTGCGGCAGGTTTGCCAAAAACAGTATCAGCCTCTTCTTCTTTGAAAGGTTCCTTACTAAAAGTTCTGATAAATACGCAGCATTGTCTCCATATTATGTCTTTACATGTTCAGGACCGTGAAAGCACCTAGTGCTCTATTATTGTCTTGCTTCTTGCTTACATTATTATGCCAATAACGTGCTCAGTAGTCATAAGTCACTCGAACTTTGAACACAAAACTTTACGCATCTATTGCACTTATTGTAGGAATACGGTAAGTGCAGTACACAATCATTTTCTCAATTTTCTGAAGTATGTGACCGCTGTATTCAAACACTAGATCTAATCGGCTCAGTAACGCCAGTATGCAAACAATACTCAATTCTCAATTTATCTTTCAAATACTACACTTAATTTCTGTAATCTAATTCGAGTACACCTGCCTACAAGAGATTCTGAAAAAATAACTGTTTACAATGCACTTACCGTACATCTACACTGCACCACTAACGTACAGTATGAGCATGTTTTTCGAGTTTAGCTTGTACGAGCCCTGTAGCGCTATTGGTCACATAAGTACTGTTAAGGAAGCAAAATAAGTGTGCGAAAACCATGAGGTCGTGAACTTAGTTAAGCATTTGGCCATAAGAATGTTGGAGAAGCATCAAACTAACACAATTTTACCTACCCATCATTTATACAAATTCATAGTCAAAAGGTAAAAATCTACCGTTAAATAAATAGTTTAAACTTATTCAAACTTGGAGATATGGTAGACTTCTAAAATTGTGAATTCTTAAATTAGCCATTCAGTAAGAAAATATGCTCTTCGAGGTATCAAGGCTACAGATAGAAACCAATAAGAAATTGTGAACGTCAAACGATTACCGGCTCGAGAATTTTGTAGAATTTTCCCATTCGTTCCACTACCCATGCTTCCTGTTGTGGCACAAAATTGATGAAAGTATTTCTGGCGTGTACAAATCGAGCACTGGATATAGGCAGCACATTCCTGAATTTCTGAGGAAAAATGTAAAGAGATTATTATGTCTGAGGAAGATTAAGAAAAAGGGAAAACAACTCACCTACTGATGGAATTCAAGTATCGAAGGGATCGGGCTGTGTTCATCTCGATAAAATAACCTCTTTATTGACACGACGAATCAAAAAAATGTGAACATCACTTGCTTACTGAATTCCCAGCCGTAAATAAAAAATTGCGTCACAGGAGTACGCAATCGCAGACACCTACGATTTCCAGCTTTTCCAATCTTCTAGCTTTGATCTCCTTCTTGTACACCTCATAGTTCTAATCCGGTGAGGAGGATTACACAAAGCTGCTCATATCAAAATGGCTAAAAACGAAGGCAAGGACCAGGTTAGTTTTGCTTGAAATTTTGGAGGAAACTTTTCTTCATAGTTCTTAATTTGGAGTTTGCAGTTTCATGGGTAATTTGGAGCGCGTAGCTTTAAACTTCGAGTTTTACATATCATGAAATAGTTCTTTTCTGGGCAAACAGTTGTCTCAGATTTCTGAAGTTTTTCCATGTTTGCAGTTTCTTTTCTGAATGACAGTGCTGATATTGGGCTAAAACTCTGCAAAGTTGCTAATTTTGGCTTTTTGAAATGACTGAATTATAGAGTCCTGTCCTTTCTATAGATTACGAAAGTAGATTAGCTGCAGTTGAGAAAACTTAAAAATTCCTTCGCTTTTCTACTTCACAGGGGATCAAACCGCAAGCTTTAGGTCTATTACTTAAGCGAGAATGAGTTTTGGTCGGATATCAAGGATGAATATATTCAGCGAATTGCAGAGATGGATCCAAATGATGTGTACCCGTCAAATAATCCAGGTATATTCTTTCTTATTTTTTATTTAATTTGAATGTACTCCTAAATCATAGGACCCACAAATCCTGATGGATCGGTGAACTTTGAATGTCACTGTGTCGGTCATCTTGTTGCCAGTCCTTGTGGACATGAGTTTAGGTAAGATGTTATGAGGCTTTATCGTTGATTAGCTGGGGAAGCTATTGGTTACCAAACATGTTTTCCTGAAAGATAATCAACTGAACTCCGAATTTCTGAAATATTGTGAATCTGTGCATTTTGCATCACGAAGTCATTTTTCCAGGCGATACAGGCGATACCCTTTACAGTCAAAAATTTAATCAGCTTCGCTGAAAGTGTCAATCGACCTTGATGTAGTGATAAGGATAACACAGTCTTACTAAAAGCTATTTTTTGTTGTGTGTTCTTGCATCAATTGTAAATTAAAATCAGAACCTTGAAGTTTTTATTCTAACTTATCACGAGGCATGGTCCTTCTTCTCAAGAAAAAAATCTGTTATTTGTAACTAATAGTTCTGTTGTTACAGGGAAGCCATCACATGTCAAAAGTCTGCCACAGAAGAAGAGCTTGAAGCAGGAAAATGTGGCGAGGAAT